ATGGGGATCAGGACAATTTTCTATAGAGCAAATAGAATTTTTCATAGATTCCAAAGCCAGAAGGAATCACTATGATCAGCTAGTGACCCAGCGGTTCTCACTGTGGGTTGCGACCCAGTTTTAATGGGGTCTCCAGGGCTGGTGTTAGACTTGCTGGGGCCTGGGGCTGAAGCCCGAGCCCCACCACCCAGGGCCAAAGCCAAAGCCCCCCCACCTGGGGCTGAAGCCATCAGGCTTTGGCTTTGCCTCCCCTGCCCGCGGCAGCGGAGCTTGGGCAGGCTCAGGCTTCGGTCCCCCATCCTGAGGTCATGTAACAATTTTTGTTGTCAGAAGGGGGTCGCGGTGCAATGAAGTTTGAGAACCGCTGATTAGTCTAACCTCCTGTATAACACAGGCCATAGACCTTGCCCTAAATAATACCTGTTTGAACTAGGACATTTTTTTTTTCAATCCAATTTTGATTTTCAATTTTCCCTTGTCATCTTACTCAGGGCATTTTATAAGATGAAAAGGAGTACACTCAGCAATTTCATTAAGCAACATGCTTTCCAGCACAGATCACTCAAATGGTTCCAACTAGACCTGCCTACGGATTTTTATCATGTGGATGTAAAGTAATTTGAATGGGTGGCTAGGAAGCCCAGTAATTGAAAGATTTTTGAATCCACAAGAGCTCTGAAAGCTCCTAGTTGGACAGTCTCATCCCCATGCTGACATTAAACAGATCAATCATGAGGGGTCTGGTGTCTGTCAATCATGAGCTTTTACATGCTCCCCCATAACTTACCTCCTGTACTGGCGGAGCTAGCGGATTCTTGAACTCTGATAAGGAAACTGGCAAAGAGAACTTGGAAAGCACAGACGGCAAATCATGGCCAGGAAACTGACATGAAAATTCCTCTGCCAAAGGGGAGTAACTATGAAAAAGAGGTACAAGAGGAAATTAGTCTTGCACTGTTTTCTAAACAGAATTTACATAAACTTACTAATACATATTCATTGCACAAGACGTGCCAATTCACAACAAAAATATTCTTTATGTTTTAGGTAAATAATAAAGAAGCCCATTATGGTTTATGACATCTAGTATCCTGATTATGTGAGAAAATAATGAACATATTCAATGTGGTATTAGCTTTTGCCACAGCAATTTTTTTATTTTAATCACAGACTCATTAATTAATTGGATCTATTTTCCCATGACCCATTATTACAGATTTTTTTTAAAAATTCAACAAACAGATGCAATATCTTCATCTCACTATCCCTAGCTCCGTTGGAAGGACAAATCATCATCTACGGGTTTGTCTACACAGTGAAGTAATGTGCACTTCTGGGGGTGGGATTTCTAAAGCACAGTGGCATGTTGCACATTAATTAGTCCACTTAGACCCTGCTGGTGTACACTAAAGGTCTGTCTACACTTAGAGCTGGGGATGTGAGAGTTAGTAGTGCAATCACTGTAGCAAGGGCAGCGGCTTGAGCTAGCTGCCCAAGTACATACCCATGGATTCTGTGTGGGTTTGTCCTCGGGGGAGCGAGCCCTTCCTATTGCTCGCTGCTGTACCATGGCTACATGACTATTTTTAGCATGCTAGCTCGATAAGATCTAGCACGAGTACATCTCCTCGAGGTAGGAATCACAAGCCAAGCTCCAGGTGTAGGCATACCCTAAAGGTTCCCCACTGCGCACTAATGTAATTCGGTTTCAAACAGCACTATGTTAAAGCACACTAGACCTGCTGGTGTGCACTAAAGATACCCTACAGAGACCAATTTATGAGCAACACATTAGTGCACTTTAAACCCCGCCTCCCCGTAAGTGCACATGATCGCATAGCATAGACAAATCACACACCGCTTCAGCACAAATTTCTACTGTTTGCCTAATCTAGACAAACCCTTACATGGGCTAAGAGGTCAAGATCAGGTTGGGGTCAGCTAACAGACAACATCTATTGCCTAAACACAGGATAGCATCTTTTACATGGACTTAGCTGGCTGAGGTAAATTTTAGACTCCTCCCTAGGCTTGACTTAAATGTGTTCTTCCATATTGCTCAGGGCACAGTCTCACAACTTACATAATTAGGAACATACAATTTTCCAGAGGTAGTACAAAGGATGATCCCCACAAACAGTCCCCCCTTTACTTCCATGCTTGACAGAAAAGATGGGCCTTGCATTGTGCCTGATAAAGTCTGACTCTGCAAAGTGGATGGAGGAGGTAATTTCAGAGTCAAGAGCCCCTAACTGAGAACTCCCAGAGACCAGGACCATCACAAATAAGTATAGGAATTGCTAGCTCCATAGCCCCAAATGAACTCAACTGCTGTGACAAGATGGGTGAGGTAATAACTTTTACTGGACCAACTTTTGTTGGTGGGAGAGACAAGCTTTCAAGCTACACAGAGCTGTTCTACAGGTCCGGGAAAGGTATTCAGTGTCACAGCTAAATACAAGGTTGAACAGATAGGTTGACATAAATAGCACATAGTCTCTAAGGCCTGGTCTACACTATGAGTTTAGGTCAAATTTAACAGCGTGAAATCGGATTAAGCCTGGACACATCCACACGACAAAGCCCTTTTTTTCAACTTAAAGGGCCCTTTAAACCGGTTTCTTTACTCCACCTCTGACGAGGGGATTAGCGCTAAAATCGGCCCTTGCGGGTCGGATTTGGGGTAGTGTGGACGGAATTCGACGTTATTGGCCTCCGGGAGCTATCCACAGTGCTTCATTGTGACCGCTCTGGACAGCGCTCTCAATTCAGATGCACTGACCAGGTAGACAGGAAAAGCCCCGCAAACATTTGAATTTCATTTCCTGTTTGCCCAGCGTGGACAACACACGTGACCACACAGAGCTCATCAGCACAGGTAACCATGATGGAGTCCCAGGATGGCAAAAGAGCTCCAGCATGGACAGAACGGGAGGTACGGTATCTGCTCGCCATATGGGGAGATGAATCAGTGCTAGTTGAACTCCGTAGCAGTAAACAAAATGGCAAAATATTAGAAAAAGTCTCAAAGGCCATGAAGGACAGAGGCCATAACAGGAACGCACAGCAGTGCTGTGTGAAAATTAAGGAGCTAAGGCAAGCCTACCACAAAGCCAGAGAGGCAAATGGAAGGTCTGGGGCAGAGCCGCAAACATGCCGCTTCTACGTGGAGCTGCATGCCATGCTAGGGGGTGCAGCCACCACTACCCCAACCGTGTGCTTTGACTCCATTAATGGAGAATCACGCAACAGGGAAGCGGGTTCGGGGTACGCGGAAGATGATGATGATGATGAAGACAATGAAGATAGCTCACAGCAAGGAAGCGGAGAAACCAGTTTCCCCAACAGCCAGGATATGTTTATCACCCTGGACCTGGAACCAGTAACCCCCGAACTCACCCAAGGCGTGCTCCCAGACCCTGAGGGCACACAAGGGACCTCTGGTGAGTGTACCTTTGTAAATATTACACATGGTTTAAAAGCAAGCGTGTTTAATGATTAATGATTAATTTGCCCTGGCAATCGCGGCCAATACAGCTACTGGAAAAGTCTGTTAACGTGTATTGGGATGGAGCGGAAATCCTCCAGGGACATCTCCAGAAAGCTCTCCTTCATGTACTCCCAAAGCCTTTGCAAAAGGTTTCTGGGGAGGGCTGCCTTATCCCATCCGCCATGGTAGGACACTTTACCACGCCAGGCCAAAAGCACGTAGTCAGGTATCTGTGCATAACAAAGCATGGGAGGGCTTCCTGCCCGCATTT